GGGGCCAGCCCTGCGAGTGCCAGCCCCCTGCGTTTCCCCCGGGCAGGCGGGTCCTGGGGCCTCCCTCTCCAGCAAGCACGGCTTTCGCTGCCGACTCCCCGCCGGGCCACTAGTGCTCCAGCCACGGCCCTTGAGACGCCAGCGCTGGTGGGAGAAGTCAGCCCAGTCCCATAGCCGGGCGGGGCTCTGTCCGCTCCAGGTACCAGGCGCCTCCCTGGCGCTGATGCGGCGCCAGCTGTGGAGAGGTGGGCTCAGGGTTTGTTATGCCCCAGGCAGGCGCCGGGGCGGCTGCGGAGACGGGACGTGCTGTTCTGCTTCTGGGGCTGGGCCGTGATCCCAAACAGCTCCTCAGCTGCCCCGGCACCCGCGTGGGGCAGAACAAGCCTCGGGCCCTCCTTCGGGGAGACAGGCTGCTGCTTTTCCTGGGGTTGGGGGGGCACAAGCTCAGGGTGCCTCGGAGCTGGTGGGGTGGGGGCCGCTCTGGGCGGTGGGGGAGGCTGCCACGTGCACACGAGTTCCCCCGGGCAGAGCAGTGGTTGGGCTGGGGCCGTGGGACAGACCCAGCTGTGAGGAGATGGGGCCTAGCAGGGCTGGGCTCAGCAGCCCCTGGGGGCTCTTCCAGCGCATGTCCCTAGCGCTCATGCTCCAGGGCTGCAGCCGGCTGCCTGCGGCGGTCAGGAGGGGATTCCATCCCCGCGCCCAGCGGGTTGGGCTGACAGGTTTTGTGGCTCCTTCCTCCGGAGCACCAGGGACGGTCCCGGCTGGAGATGGGGCTGGACGGGACAGACCCAGGCCCAGAAGCTCGGCTGGCTGGTTCTGCTCACGCTCAGGGTCTGACTGGTGCCGTGTGCGTTCTCAGGCGGGAATGCCCCTGGGTGGATCAGACTGGCAGCGACCCTGGGGTTTCCCCTCCCCCTGCAGCGCGGGGGGGTCACATGCTAGGCGTGGCCGGGCCCCCCTTCTCTCACGCAGGGCTGGGTCCCGCTGCTTCCCGGGCCGCCTGTCCCGATGCGACGCTCTGGCGCCCACGCTGGCCCTGAACTCGGTGACGCTGGGACTGTTCTCGGCCCAGAGAAAATCAACACAAGAAGGGGGCCTCCGATGGCCGGAGCCCAGCGCCGTGTCACGGCCGGAGGGCACCCTCCTCTGCACCAGCAAGAGAACGAGACGCGCCTGCCTGCCTGGGCCGAGGAACGACGCTTGCACCATGGACACAGTAACCCTCAGATTTATTAATGTACCAAAAAAGGATAAAAAATATATATTAAACCACTATGTCAATTACATACCCTAGTCATAAATAATCAACCACGCCTTGCTACTGGCAAATCACTCGGCACGCTCTCCGCGTCACACGGGCGAGGCGACTCCAGTGCAGGGACCAGGACTAGCGGGGGCGGTGCGCACGGGGGACTCGGCCTCACGCCCATCGTGCGCCAGCCGATCCGGCTGCGTGGAAGCGCGTCCCCCGCCCG